CTGCTGCTGGATGATTTGTATTCATAGGAAATAATCTGGTTTAAAAAATATTTACCCTAAATGTTGTCAAAATTATGTAATTTACTCAACTGAATTCATTTGACTAATCCAGGTCATTGTTGTATCACTGACAAATGTTAATGCAAGACTTCAATTTGCACACTATTACTGACATATCTAAATGCGTAACACACATGATGGGATGCACCTATACTTTAGACATTATTCCACATTAATCAACTATTAAGAGGAATACTGTTGAGATGCATTCGTGTTAGCTGACTATCACAAAGTGTTTTTATTTGTATATGTGAACATTGAGGTTGATGGTTACAATGTCATCTCAGGCAAAGTACAACCACTTTCAAAATAAAATCAAACGGCACATTGTAAAAATGGTTGTTGTGGTGTTTTCTCTCCTTTGCTAAATTCTGTACCCTTCTTTTCAAATCCGACATTCAATGCACAAATAAGCAGTTGAATCTATATTGAATGAATGTTGTATATTAACACTAATTTATACAGACTTTGTTTAGACATCTGGCAACATGGTGCCTCGGGCAATGCAATGAAAAAGGTCAACGGAAATCGACATTTTCATACCATCTCAAACCGCTCTAAAGAGTAGTTTTGGATGGAAACATGATTCTTACCTTTACCTGAAAGCTACTTTATTTCATCTATCAGTTTACTAGATACACCAACAGAAAGGGCTCATCGAAGTTCATAAAAAAAACAAATGTGTTGACTTTGCTGGCAATGTGAGGATTCAATTCTGTGTTTATTACTGATGTCATACTTTAAGCTGTCATAATAGATGTCATGTGGGAGATTTTTATAAATGAGACACTGCACAAAAAAAATGCATCAAAATCTATGATTTTGCTTATCATTCAAATATAAACGACTGGTACATACAGAAAACAATACCTTTGTGATGGAGGGTTGCCTCTCATACATTAGCTGTACACATTCAGAAAATTAATGAATATTTGATGATATATGATACAATTGGCTGTATTTAAATATAAAATATTAATCGTGCAACATATTAATATTAGCATATAAAATATGATTTAACACAAACATTTTTGTCCAGGACATCAGAGCCACATTTTCTTTAAAGTGAGGCACATTTTATAACTAAGGAAGAGGATTAGGGCCACATGTGAACGTTTATTTGAGATACGAACAAAACTAACGTTTTTAGTTCTGAGATTAAAGTCAGAATTCTGAGATTTCAGAAAAATAAATACGTTTTCTTCCCCTCCTAACTTTAATCTCACAATTCAGAAATGTCTCATGTGGCCCTAATATCATCTGCAGTAGTTTTTAAGAATTGACTGCATAAAAAAGCTTGTACAGTGGAGGTGCGGTTATCACTACCGACCACTAGATGGCGACATAAATACGTCATCAGTTTATAGAGGATGGGCGTGGTCACTGCAGACTTCCCCCTCTTCTTACAGAAATTTTTGCAATTCCAGTTGACGGGAAACGGCTTACTTGCTGACCGTCCGTGGCATCGGAAAACTGACATCGATATATTCTAAACAAAAGAGGATTTGCTTTTGTATTAACTCGATATCGGTAAGTCAACGAACAGTTCGCTTTGTTACATCGTTTAGCTGCAGTTTATAGCTGTGGTATAGATAAACGCAGGGCTGTTTTCCAAACAGGCGTAGTGACGTTATCGAACCGTTTCCCCGTTTTGGTTAAAGCTAACGGTAGCATGCGAGCTAGCTTTCTTTGCAGCATGTTATTTGTTTTTCCATTTGATATACTGTATGTCCGACGTTATTGTTGGTGCACTGTAGGGTTTTTGTTTTTAAACTAATCACTGACCAGACATTGCGCATTAAAGGGAGCAGGTTATAAGCAAACCCACCCGTTGTAATGGGGGAGGAGCAGTGTGTCTGACTGGAAAGAAACATGGAAGCTAGCTTAGTTAATTGAGGGTCTGGCTTGAAGGACTGACATAGACATGTGTCAGTTGTAGAATGTGAGTTACTACAATACTACTCATGATTGTCTATAAACCAAAACAATCTATCAAACCCAAATAATAAACTCTTAGGATAATGATACTTACATATAAACACATTGATGATTACTTACTCTAACGGTAAAAACAGCTTAGCATAAAATACACACAGGGCAGACTCTACAATATAGAAATACACATATTATATTAGATTAGGTGTACTTTAATCCTCCCAAGTTAGGACATGTTTCGACTTGTTAGGAATAACACATGAGTATGTATAAACACGGATGTATAAACTGTCTAATTGTTGAAATAGTACAGTAACAAATATAATAAAATGCATTAAAATGTAATAAAGTAAAAAGATAAACATATACAGTCAATATATACATATATATATACAACAATAGAACAAATATATAGCTATAGAGTAGGCTTTGGTTTCCATCTTTGTAGTTTCATTTATCCAATATTTGTTTTTCCAGTTTGACAATTTACAACCCAAATGCATCCATAAAACACATTCTTTACTGTAGTGTGACGAAGATAACTTCGTCACTGTGGACTGACGGGTTCAGGCCTTGTATATTGCACATGTTTTATTTTGAAAGGTGTTCCCCCTCCCGTTTTTTCTGTTGCTCCTGATTATGTTCACCTGGTGCCCTGTGTTGTCTCCTCCCCCCTCACCTGTGTCTTGTTGGGTTAATTAGTGTGGGTATTTAGGCTCTGTGTTTCCTGTTTTGAAGGGATGCTGTGTGAGATCCTTGTGGCTGGTGACTGTGCTCACGGGAACAGCAAGATTGAGGCTGTGTCCTGTGCTCGAATTTAAAGGTCCCATGTCATGGCCATTTCCACTGATCATAATTCCATTGTGGAGGTCTACTAGAATAGATTTATATTGTGCAATTTTCCAAAATCACTTTGGTTTCTCATACAGCATCTCTGTAAACTACGTTTATTCACTGAATTTCACTCTCTGCCTTTAACGGCTCGTTGTAGCTCCAATAGCTCCAGCCCCCACCCTCCCTGTGACCCTCCCATTGTGCTCTGATTGGTCGGGACGTTGTGAATCGCGCTGAGCTCCGTGGAGGTGTGGTTTCCTTGTTTAGCGACAGCCAAACTCACCCTGAGCACACACAAAGTCAAAGCCGAAATAAGAAAACAATAAGTGTTGCTTGATATTGAGTAAGAAAAAGGTTGANGAGGCATTGGGGCCACCACTGGGTCCAAATATTATCACCTCTGTCTTTTTTTCATTGAATTTTAAAAAGTTCAAGGCCATCCAGGCTCTGATGTCCTGCTGCAGGACATCAGAGCCTGGATGGCCTTGAACTTTTTAAAATTCAATGAAAAAAAGACAGAGGTGATAATATTTGGACCCAGTGGTGGCCCCAATGCCTCGCCTGTGCTGGATTCTCTTGTCCCATATGTGAAACCCATTGTCACAAACCTGGGTGTACGGATTGATCGTGATTTTAAACTAGACAAACAGATTAACTCTGTGGTAAAATCCAGCTTCTTTCAGCTCAGACTTTTAGCAAAGGTCAAGCCTTTCCTTTCTTTTAATGACTTTGAGAAAGTAATACATTGTTTTATATCCACTAAACTGGATTACTGCAATGCTCTTTATATTGGACTGACCAAGGCTTCCCTGTCACGGCGTCACGCCTACAGCTGGTCCAGAATGCTGCTGCGCGCCTCCTTACAAGGACAGGCAGGCGTGAACATATTACACCTGTACTCGCCTCTTTACACTGGCTACCAGTTTAGAATACAATTAAAAATGTTACTGTTTGCATAAAAGGCCCAAACGGTTTAGCCCCACCGTACCTGGCAGATCTTTTAAAACCANACACACCCACACGGTCACTGAGGTCTGCTGACAGACTCCTTCTGGTCGTCCCTACATCGAGGTTGAAGCAGCGAGGAGACAGAGCCTTTGCTGTTGCAGCTCCAAAGTTATGGAACGAATTGCCCCTCCAGGTTAGACTTGCTCCAACTCTGCCTGTTTTTAAATCTCGTTTAAAAACCCACTTATTTTCCCTGGCGTTTACAGACCAGGTGACACTTGTGCTTTTAAATGTGGGTTTTTATCTTACTACTGTTTTTTATTGTTTTTAAGTCATGTAGGAGAGTTTCTCAGTCTGTGGCTTCTGATCTGGTTTCATTGTCTCGTGTTTTACATTTGTTTCATGTCCTGCCTGTTTTTTATGTATGCTATGTTTTTATACAGTTGTTGATGTACAGCACTTGTTCAACTTGTTTTTAAATGTGCTATAGAGATCAAATAGATTGGATTGGATATTCATTCAACACAGCTTGAAAATAAAAACCTGAGTGGCTGAAAAATGTACCTTGGAACTCTTAAGGGTTAATCAGCGCTAATTTACCTTTAGATCAGTGGAGCTTCTTCTTTTAGACAATTACTACAGCTCATTATTTTCCCTAATTTATCTGAAAATAAGATCAAATAATGATCCTGCCTGTGTCTGATTGTGATATATGAACAGAATGGCTTCAGTATCCTGTGATTTGTATGTTGGAGTACATTTTATTTTTCTTATTATATATAATATAATCTTTATACCTGAGAGTGTCCAGTCTCCAGAGAGGATCCTCCAGTCCAGCAGACAGCAGCTTCTCTCCTGAGTCTCCTGGATGATTGTAGCTCAGGTCCAGCTCTCTCAGATGGGAGGGGTTGGAGCTCAGAGCTGAAGCCAGAGAAACACAGCCTTCCTCTGAGACCAGACAGCCTGACAGACTGAACACACAAAACAACACATCACATAATCTGAGGTCACTGTGAGGACTGCAGGGTTAGAGAAACACTGTATGTACTTAATACCTTTGGCTTATGTGAGTAAACTTTCTGATTTCTCTCTGATATTTCAAGATCCAACAAGAGTGAGAAATTAACTTCATGAAATATGTTATTTGAAAAAAAACAAAATATTAAGACATGTTATCATAAATACGAGGANACTAAATAGGACTGGACCTCAGGAGGTCCTCCATGTCACACCTGAGAGGTCAGGTCGTCCTGTGTGAAGTGCAGGACCTTAGGACGTCCAGCAACAATGTAGTCCCAGGTCTAGAGAGTCTGCATCTCCTTGACCCTCGACTCCTGACTCCTGTCTCGACGTCGTCGAAGAGAGACTGTCCAGTGTCTGTCGAGTCAGACTCCTCTTTTATTTATTGGTTGTGTATTTAGTTATGAGTCCCACAAGAAAAAGTAATTCCTGACGGAATAGCGTATAATAAGGAATAAGTTTTTAGCACGTTGAGTTAGACGAAGTGTAGACACTGGTTTACAAATACTACCGAGAAGAAGGTGCTACCGTAATTACGTAACCGAAAAGGTTAGTTTTCAGACTCATTGTCCTCTCACAAACAAATGTAGTGACATAAAATAATTTACAGAATTATGTTTTGCTTTGTAACGCAAACCAATTGACTCTGATCTTAATTTTTGTTCCTCCTTTTCCTCTAACCTTGACTTTCGTCTCTCTCTCTCTCTCTCGTTTATTATAATTCTATTTTATTCTTTAGTTTGTGACTCCTCAGGGTCTCATGTACCCTGAGAGGTCAGGTCGTCTGTCCGTCGATATGTTCACCCCCCTTTTATGGAAGTATTTCACTTACTATAGTAAATGAACTATTTTTTAACCTGTTAAATGATTCTTTGCTGTTGTGTTCAGGCAGAAATCTACACATCTTTCTCCCTTTCTACTTTTGACACATTTTTAACTTTGGCTTTCAATCCACCATGTATGCAAATCTTTTGCCGTCGGTTCAAGTAATGTAGTTTTCCTCGTATTTATGATAACATGGTCTTAATATTTTGTTTTTTTTCAATGAACATATTTCATGAAGTTAATTTCTCACTCTTGTTGGATCTTGAAATATCAGAGAGAAATCAGAAAGTTTACTCACATAAGCCAAAGGTATTAAGTACATACAGTGTTTCTCTAACCCTGCAGTCTCGTGTGTGTGTGTGTGTGTGTGTGTGTGTGTGTGTGTGTGNTGTGAACTCTCCAGCCAAAGCTCCTAAATAAACCATCAGTGTTTGCCATCAAAGCTCCAGCTCTCCCCGTGTCTCCTTTGAGTCGGTGACTCCTCCTGCATTGCTGCAGGAGGAGTCACCGACTCAAAGGAGACACGGGGAGAGCTGGAGCTTTGATGGCAAACACTGATGGTTTATTTAGGAGCTTTGGCTGGAGAGTTCACAAAACAAGTCCAAGAGCCAGAGGTTCTGACTTCACGGTAGAGTTGCCACGTCAATTCTGAAGAACTCTACCCCAGACCCATGTGTTTAGCTAGTTCAGAGAGAATAATCAACATTGTGCATAACAAGATAGAATCATAACACCTCTATCAGCTGACGCCAACAGGCAGGAACAGGGAGACAAAACATTAAGAGCACAGCAGCCAGGGGCGGACTGGGACTACAAATCGTCCCGGGACTCTCGACCGGCCCACTTCGGTACCGCCGGCCCACCTCAGTACCGCAAGTAAATACCGCTAGTAAATTGTTGACGACGACAGGGGCTAGTGACTTATCAAACCGGCCCAGATCGTCCGACCGGCCCACTTCAGTACCGGCCCATCGGGATTCGTCCCGAACGTCTCGGTGGCCAGTCCGCCCCTAGAGAGTAGATATCGCCAACACTCTGCAACTCACAACTAAACTAATTACATGAATAAATAGCTGTACAGGTAATAGGGGAACAAATGGTTGAACCGTTTAGGCTGAGCATAGTGTGATGGTTACTTGACTTGAATCTGCTTGATTTCCCAACATGTCTGTAAAAGTCTCAGCCTGGTTGCAGCGTTTGACACCATCAATGTGTTCTTCTCTCTAAAGCTCGCTCCCTGGGCTCTGTGGCCCTGAGGAAGGCCGAGGACATGGAGGGAGATCTCCACTTCAACGTGTTCACCGTTGACTTCAACGAGGAGCTGGTGGCCCTTTACGGCGGCAGTTTGTTGAGGCAGACACACTTCCTGCACGAGAGCATTAAAGCCATTCTCAGGCTATACAAGGTCAGGCCTCAAATATCACCTAGTCGTCGTCACACAGGGTCACTTACTTAGTGACAGACAGTGCTTGTGTGAGGGTACATATCTCCTTTCATCACACTTTACATTTCAACTTTATAATCAACCCATCTGACTAGCACATATCACAGTAGTAAAAAAAACATGGCACGAGGCCAATTAAAAGAAGCATTAGACAGAAAACACGCCCGTCCAAAAACACTTAATTTATGAAGTCTAAAGATCCAAATACAAAGTGACCCTTCAGAGGAACAGAAGTCACAGCTTAAACAAACAGGACATAAGCAATGGATATAGAGTTGTTGTCTACTGCACTATCGAATGGAAATACTGAACCTTTCTAACACTACTATTTAATAACAAGCCTAGACCCAGAGTTTTAGTAAAGTGATTCTAGTAATTACATAAACCTCAAGTTTCAACACTCAGTATTCTCCTTTTCTTTGCCTGCCAGCACCTGAAGACCCCCCCTCAGAGTGTGGTTCTCGTTGGTCACTCCATGGGGGGGGTGGTGGCCCGGGCGCTGTTCACCCTGCCCCGCTTCAACACCAATCTGGTGAGCCTCATCATCACACAGGCCTCCCCCCACCTGGCTCCAGTGCTGGCCCTGGACCCCTACCTGCTGGGTGAGGACCACTCAGGCTGTCTGCAGTCGTCCCGTGCTTTCACTGCAACACAACGACTGCTGCTTAAACTGATTATCTGAGTAGCTTTATCCAAAGGAGCACTGTGTGGTTCAGCTGGTATGAAAAGCTGCATTTGTATGACATTGGACCTTAAACTGAACTCTTTACTTACCATCAAAAACAGCCAACCAAGTACTAGGGTTGAGTGCTTAACAATGGCTTCCCTTCAGCTGTTAATAATATAAAAAACAATCATTCTATCACAGCTTTGACTCTACCTTATCTGGAAACTTAGTCAAGATTCAAATGCAAGCTGTCGGATTCGTACTTTACATTTGAGAGTGACTTATTTGGATTTGTAAACATTTTCAGAACCTTTCAATACCATTTGTGTGCTATGAAATATCAAAATGAGGATAACTAAACGTGTCTTTGTCCCTGCTCTATGTAGATTTCTACTCTGCAGTGAGACAGAAGTGGGTGAACCAGGCCAAAAAGCTCAGGAACGTCACAGTTTTGTCTGTTGGGGGTGGTTACCGTGACTACCAGGTCCGCTCCGGCCTCACATCCCTCCCTTGTCCCCCAGGAGACCCCAATAAGTTGTCACTGGTGGTAAGTGCTGTTATAATGATATGATGTGTTCTGTCTGTCTGTCCAGAGCAGTGTTTCTTCAGCCGCTATTTACCCTACCAGGATAATCTGTTGAAGTCCGACAATTTCAAATCTTTACTACGTTTTACTTTACTTGATCTCAAGACATAATGTCCAGTAAAAATAATTCCATCTATGCACAATTTGACATTTTTAAAGGGTTTTCGAGCTGCTCTCATCGTTGACACAAGCAGGCAGCTGCCAGGACCGACTCTGGTTATGGAGATCATATTTTCTCGGCCTGCTACGTCCTCATTAATGATGGCCTGTAGCCTGTGAACCCAGTACCAGTGTGCCGGTGGAGAGAATGCTCTCTGCAGAACAGAATTAAACAGACCCTGATTAAAGAAATAAAATTTAAAAAAAAAGCAAAGATTTTATTAAACCTTCATTGACAGCTGACTCTTCACTCCTCTTAACTGCTTCTATAGCAAAAGGCTAAAAACAAGCATGTTTGCCTTTGTTAAAGGTCCCATGTCATGGCCATTTCTACTGATCATAATTTCATTGTTGAGGTCTACTAGAATAGATTTACATTGTTCAATGTTCCAAACTAGGACAGAGAGTGAATACACAAACTATACAGAGATGCTGTATGAGAAACCAATGCGAGTTTGGAACATTGAACAATGTA